TGATTCATCATATAAACAGAACTAAAAACAAAAACCATATGATCATCTCAATAGACATGGAAAAAGCCATCAATAAGATCCAGCATCCCTTCATGATAAAAATCCACAAGAAACTAGGCATACCTCAAAATAATAAGAGCTATCTATGACAAGCCCACGGCCAACATCATACTGAATGGAGGAAAGCTGGAAGCACTTCCCTTGAGAACTGGAATAAGACGAGGATGCCCACTCTCATCGTTCCTATTAAACGTAGTACTTGAAGTCCTTGGAAGAGCAATCAGTCAAGAGAAAGAAATAAAAGATATCCGAATAGAAAAAGATGTCAAAGTATCTCTCCTCACAGACGATATGATCCTATACCTAGAAAACACTAAAGACTGCCAAAAGGTTCCTGGAACACAAACAATTTCAGTGAAGTTTCAAAATACAAACTCAAATGACTCTCAAGCTGAGAGCCAAAACAAGAACACAGCATCATTTACAATAGGCACAAAAAATGAAATACCTAGGTATACACATCTAACCAAGAAGGTGAAAGATCTCTACAAGGAGAGCCACAAAACATGGCTAAAAGAAATAATGAGTGACACAAACAAATGGAAGAACATCTCATGCTCATAAATTGGATGAGTCAATATTATTATAATAGCCATACTGCCCAAAGCAATTTACAGATTCAATAATATTCCTACCAAACTACCAATGTCCTTTTTCACAGGCTTAGAAAAAACTATTCTAAAATTCACATGGAATCAGAAAAGAGCCCAAATAGCCAAAGCAATCCTAAGCAAAAAGCACAAAGCCAGAGGCATCATATTACCAGACTTCAAACTATATTACTAGGCTACAGTAACCAAAACAGCATGGTACTGGTACAAAAATAGACACATAGACCAACAGAACAGACTAAGAGAACCAAGAAATAAAGCTGCACACCTACAGCCATCTGAATTTTGACAAAGTCAAACAAAAATAAGCAATGGAGAAAGGACTACCTATTCAATAAATGCTGCTGTGATAACTGGCTAGCCATATGCAGAAGAACAAAACTGAAACCCTGTCTTTCACCGTACACAAAAAGTAAGTCAGAATGGATTAAAGAATTAAATATAAGACCTCAAACTATGAAAATCCTATAAGAAAACCTAAAACACCATTCTGGACATCTGCCTCGGGAAATAACTCATGACTATGTTCTCGAAAGCAACTGTAACAAAAATTGATGAGTGGGACTTAATTTAACTAACGAGCTTCTGCACAGCAAAAGAAACTATCAACAGAATAAATAGACAACCTGCACAATGGAAGAAAATATTCACAAACTATGCATCTGACAAAGATCTAATACCCAGAATCTATAAAGAACTTAAAGAAATCAACAACCAGGCCAGGCGCGGTGGCTCACGCCTGTAATCCCAGCACTTTGGGAGGCCGAGGCGGGCGGATCACAAGGTCAGGAGATCGAGACCAGTGGAAACCCCATCTCTACAAAATACAAAAATGAGCCGGGCGCGGTGGCGGGCGCTGTAGTTCCAGCTACTCGGTGAGGCTGAGGCAGGAGAATGGCAGAACCAGGAGAGCTTGCAGTAGCCAGGATCGCGCCACTGCATTCCAGCTTGGGCGACAGAGCGAGACTCCGTCTCAAAAAAAAAAAAAAAGAAATCAACAACCAAAAAACAAATAACCCCATAAAAAGTGGGCAAAGAACATGAACATACACTTCTCAAAGAAGACATATGGCAGGCATGGTGGCTCACACCTGTAATCCAGCACTTTGGAAGGCTGAGGCAGGCGGATCACCTGAGATCAAGACCAGCCTGTCCAAAAGTAGCGAAATCCGCTCTTACTAAAAATACAAAAATTAGCTGGGCATGGTCGCGGGCACCTGTAATCCCAGCTACTGGGGAGTCTGAGGCAGGAGAATCACTTGAAACCCAGAAGGCAGAGGATTGCAGTGGGCTGAGATCGCACCATCACACTCCAGCAGGGCACAAGAGTGAAACTCTGTCTCAAAAAATAAAAATAAAAATAAAAAGACATGCAAGAGGCTGACAAACATATGAAAAAATGCTCATAAACACTAATGAAACCACAATAAGATCCATCTCACATGAATCAGCATGATTATTACTAAAAGTCAAAAAAAAAAAAAAAACCCAAAGAGATGCTGGCAAGGCTGTGGAGAAAACAGAACACTTATACACTGTTGGTAAGAATGTAAATTAGTTCAGCCACTGTAGAAAGCAGTTCGGAGAATTCTCAAATAACTTAAAACAGAACTACCATTCTACTCAGCAATCACATTACTAGGTTTAAATCCAAAAGAAAAGAAATCATTTCCCCCAAAAGACATATGCACTTTTATGTGCATCACAGCACTGTTTACAATAGCGAAGACATGGAATCAATCTAGGTGCCCACCAACAGTGGATTGGATAAAGAAAATGTGGTACATATACACCATGGAATACTATGCAACCATAATTTTAAAAAATCATATCCTGGCCAGGCACGGTGGCTCACGCCTGTAATCGTAGCACTTTGGGGGGCCGAGGTGGGTGGATTACCTGAGGCCAGGAGTTTGAGACTAGCCTGGCCAACATGGCGAAACCCCATCTCTACTAAAAATACAAAAATTAGCTAGGCGTGGTGGGCGCCTGTAATCCCAGATACTCGGGAGGCTGAGGCAGGAGAACTGCTTGAACTCGAGAGGCAGACAGTGCAGTGAGCCAAGATTGCGTCATTGCACTCCAGCCTGGGCAACAAGACCGAAACTCTGTCTCAAATCAATCAGTCAATCAATCAATCAATCAATCATACCCTTTGCAGTAACATGGATGCAGCTGGAGGCCATTATCCTAAGCAAATTAATGCAGGAACAGAAAATTAAATATTGCATATTCTCACTTATAAGTGGGAGCTAAATACTGGATATTCTTGGACACAAAGATGGGAATAGTCACTAGAGGCTAATAGAGAACAGAGGGAGGGAAGAGGGTAAGGATTAAAAAACTAATGGTCAGGTACTATGCTCATCATTACCTGGATAATGGGATCATTTGCATCCCAAACCTCAGAATCATGTAACATACCCATGTAACAATCCTGCACATGTATCCCCTGAATATAAAATAAGAGTTAAAATTATTTTTAAAAAGGAAAGTAAAATAAAATTGCCTGTGAATATAAGAAAATGTGCTCAATCTCACTCTGTATTCAAAAAGCAAAAATTATAACAACAATGATTTACCATTTTCACCTCTGAGGTGGGCAAAGATTCTGGGAAAACAGATATTCATATATATTCTTTGTGACACTATAAATTGATACAAATTCATCAGAATGCAATTTCATACTATCGTTAAAATTTGTAAATGTACACAGCATTTTATCCAGGAATTTTACTTGTAGAATTTGTGAAACACAGCATATATAGAGTCATGTTCACCACAGCAATTCTTAAACAAGCAAAAGACTAGAACTAATCTAAATAGCCATTAATATGGGATTAATTAAATTAAGATAGGCCCATACACAACATTTTATGCAGTACGTAAAAAGAACACAGTAGATAAACACAAGCACCTACAGAATAATCTTCAGGCACAGTTGGTGAAAACAGCAAGGAATAAAAAACGAAAAATCATAAATGCACATATGTGTTGAGAGGCATAGACTATTTCTAGGAGAAAACATGAAAATTTAGAATTAAGAAAACGTGAAAAATTAGAATTAATGATTTTATCTGGGCGAAATGCTGTAAGTCTGAGATTGAAGGGAGATTTACATTTGTTAAACTACCTTATTTTACTATATGAATAATTTGCCATAAGCATGAACACTTTGCTACAAGCAATTTTTTAACTTTAAAAAGTGATTATAATAAATGGTAATCACTTGAATCATTGAAGAATTCTTTAAATGTGAGGTCTACAATACCAAACAAGAAAAAAGAAAGGTAGGCCTAATAGTAGTAACTTTTTTTAAATGTCAAAATTCTTCAGAATAGTCTAATCACCCCAGATTTGTGTGTGCATATGAACTTCAATTTACAAAGAACAACGAATACAGCACAACAACCTCCAGTGTACATAATCTAAAACAAAACTTTCACACCTCTCTCTCAATATTCCAAAATTTATATTCTCATATTCTAAGGCATAATGTGACAAATCAGACAAATGAATGATAAAGGTGCTAATTCCAGGGGCATGAGAGTATGGATTGCTTCCATTTTTCAATTGCAAGAACTCATTCAGACAAAAAGTAATATCCTTAACTAAACTATCACTTCTGCAACAATTAGTGAAATAATCATGTTGAAATAAAATACCAAAAATTAATGAACCATAATTATCTATTATGAGATTGAGAAGCTACCTGTATAGTAACAAAATCATGTGTGAAATTCACAAGTGAATAAATAAAGGATCTAATCATAAACAAAGCACTCTATTATCAAATTAGTAAACAATACTTATAAGGCACTGGATTTTGATATTAATACAAAATATCTAATTATAGCAAAAACTATAACATTTCCTAGGAATCCAAATTGATAAGTAATACAAGCACGACAGGAAAGACTATTTAAGACTATGGGACCAATCTTATTTCAATTTCATGAAAAATTCTGAGACTTTAGTGTTCTCTCACATTATTTTCTCTTACTTGATGAATCAACAGATTCACCTCCCCTGCTTCTCAATAAAAATGACAATTTCATAATGGAGCAGTGCAACACACATATTTAACAATAAAAGTAAAACCTGTATTTTCAGAATAATAATAACATTTATGTATAATAAAATTCAAAGGTAAAAGAAATTTCCTTCTTTAATTACTAGGTAAAATATGGTTAAATGTCAATCTATTTATGTTTCACCCTGTCTGATGTGGGAAAACTATACATACACCCACTACTAGAAATTTTTAGCAAAGCACTGAATTAAATTATACTTGAATCAGGAACTTATATTTTATTTTTAAAAATGTACCTTTCATCTGAGTAGCAAAATTCAATGCCAGTTTGGCAAAGAGATCTGGATTCTCAAACTTGTCTTCTTTAACTTTTAACCAGAAACAGTTCTCAGATAATTCTGTGGGTTCAATCTGAAACAAAAATAACAAAGAAAAGATTCTAAATTATAATTTCATATTTAAATTTTCAAGGAACTAACTTTCAGCAAGGTTGAATGACAGTTCCTTTATTCCTCTATCCTCTAAGTCAATTTCAGGATGTATCTAAATAATACTTATAAAGTAAATATTCATTGGGAAATTCAGAATTGTGTGAAGAAATGGCAAACAATAGAAATAGGCCACATAGCAAATTGCAGCTTAAAAATTATTCTCCTGGAAGGAGTCTTAAAAATAATTTAGGAAATCCTAACCCCAACTCACATAAAATCTTCTTGTTCCTGGGTTTTTTAAAACAGGGAAACTCAGACTTAGAAAAGTGAATTCCCTTTGTTCACTCATTAGGTTTAAGTTAGCAACCATAATGATAGCTGACACACACCTCCTACATTGTGTCAGGTACTGTCTTAAGTTATTTGCATATATTAACTAATTTAATCCTCGTAATAATTTTTTGACCTGTTCTGTTATTATCTCCACATTAAAAGATGAGGAAACAGAGCCCAAGAAAGTTTAAGTGGCTGCCCAAATTAGTAAATGGCAGAGCTGGGATTTTAAACCCAGATAAGTGCTCCAGAGGACCGTGGTCTTAACTACTACCCAAGATTAAAACTTTATCTTCCAATACACCATGAAGCTTCGTGATGTGTAACTACCATTACACTGCATACTAAATTGTTAAATTAGGAAGCATATCACTACATTAACACAGGCAGATAGCGAGGCAACAGCTTTGAAATCTTGTATTTTGATGAATTGTACCTAATCTTTTTAAAAGAAGAACTACATTCTAAAACCATTTACTCCAAGTTTACTCTTATGAGCAAAGCATAAATATATGCATAAGACTGAAAAATGATTTAACCATCATTCTGTTTAAACCAACTTACTACATAGATGCTGTCTAATACTGTAAATATGTTCTTGGATGACACATTTCCCCAAATGGTTGTCTGGGTAAATGGATTTTCATTAGATTAGTTCCCAGTGAATGAGGACTGTGTCAATCTACATAATAACCTTTTAAAACATATTATTTGCTAATAATAATAAAGTCTAACAACATTCAGAAGAAAGTATTTTCATACATCATATTAAAAAATTAAGGTATGTCAATATTGAATATTGTCACTTATTCCACACTATCTGAAAGTGTAAAACTTAAAAAAAAAGTCATTCACTAAGAAAAACGAGTAAGATAAAAAGGCTCAATAATAAAAAGGATTTTATTTAAGAAAAATGGGGAAGAGGCTTCAGCTCACAGGAGGCAGGTGGCACTCATATCCTCCATAAAAAGCCAAAAAAGAGAGTAGATAATCACAACATGTAAAAACATTGGAATTTGGCAGAGAAGTTACAGAAAACACCTGAGGCATGGAAGGAGCAGGAATCCAGGCAGCAAGCCTGGCTGTGATCAGCTGGCCGCCCAGAGAAGCATCCCAATGTGGGAAAAGAGTAAATAACATATCCCCAGTGGTCCAGATTCCCACTGTGAACTCTGAAGATTCTAGCCATAGGAGAGCCACTCAGCCTCCACAGGCCCTGAAACTAGTCTTTAGTAAACAAAGTTACCGGCAGTCTGTGCAAAGGCATTGCTCTAGAGTGGGCATTCACACTGGATCCCACACATGCCACCAAGACCGAAGCAGCTGCAGTATGGCAACAGATTGAGAGTCCAAACCCCATCAGACTACATCCTGCCCTGGGGCTGAAAGATTCTCTATCTCCACATCCTTGGAGCCCACTGAAATCTCCCACATCCACCCAGATGACTGCAGTGGTGTGATACTGGCTAGATCTAGCAATGAGACCAGGTCCCAGCATTCTAGCCCACAAGGTGTCCTACATCCCAGGAACACGTGGTGCAGCATATTGGAGAGGCTACAGGCCAAGAGAGAAGGGGATACTATATTTAAAGTGCCAAAAGGGAAAAAAAAAAACACACACACACTGGAAGCCAGTTGTATATACCCAACAAATCTATCCATCAAAAATGAAGGAGAAATACATAATGTCTTTCCCAAACACACAAAAACTGAGGGAATTCATCACCACCAGACAAGCCCTGCAAGAAATGCTTAAGGAAGTCCTACATATCTGAAAGAGAATATATGTAGCACATGAAAGTATAAAATTCACATGTAGTATAAAACTATGAAACTCACATGTAGAGCAGATAGACAAATGAGAAAGAGAAAGGACTCAAATGTTAACACTACAGAAAACTAACAAACCACATGGATAAACAATAACAAAGAAAGAAAAAACAAAGGATACACAAAACGAACAGAAAACAATTAACAAAATGACAAGAATAAGTCCTCACCTATCAATAATAAACTTGAATGTAAACCAATTAATTGCCCACTTAGAAGATATAGACTGGCTGAATGTATTAAACAACATGACCCAACTATATGCTTCCAACAAGAAACACATTTCACCTGCAAGACACACATAGACTGAAAATAATAAAATAGAAGATATTAAATTGCAAATGGTAGCCAAAAGTGAGGAGTAAATATACATATATCAGATCAAACAGACATTAAGTCAAAAATAGTAAAAAGAGACAAAGTAGGTCTAGATAGATAGATAGATAGATAGAGAGATAGATAGATAGATATACGCATCAATTTAGCAAGAGGATGTAACATGTCAAAATATATACATACCCAACAGTGGAGCACCCAGATATACAAAGAAAATACTATTAGATCTAAAGGGAAAGATAGACTCTAATATAGTAATAGTTGGGGACTTCAACACCCTACTCCCAGCATTAGACAGATCATCTAGGCAGAAAATCAACAAATAAACATTGGATTTAAACTGCACTTTAGAACAAACAGGCCTAACAGACATTTACAGAACATTTTATCCAACAGCTGCAGAATAAACATTCTTCCCATCAGCATAAGAAACATTCTCAAGGATAGATCATATGTTACTGTAAAAAACAAGTCTCAACAAATTTTTAAAAATCAAAATCATATCGAGTATCTTCTCAGACCACAATGGAATAAAATTAGACATCAATAATGAGAGAGATTTCAGAAACTATACAAGTACACAGACTTAAAGAACATGCTCCTGAGTGACCACTGGGGCAATTAAAAAATAAAGAAAAACATTAAAAAATGTATTAACATAAGTGAAAATTAAAAAACAATATATCAAAACCTGTGGAATATAGTAAAAGCAATGCTAAGAGGGATGCTTATAGCAATAAACACCTACTTCGAAAAAATGGAAAGATGTCAAATAAACAGTTTAATTTTGAAGGAACTAAAAAAGCAAGAACAAACCACATCCCAAATCAGTAGAAGGAAAAAAATAATAAAGTTCAGAGCAAAACTGAGCCAGAGATTAAAAATACAACACAAAAGAGCAACAAAACAAAAACTTAGGTTTTTTCAAAAGATAAAATTGATAAACCACTAGCTAGATTATCCAAGAAAAAAAAAAGGAAAGACCTAAATAAACCACATAAACAAAATCAGAAATGGAAGAGGAAACCTTACAATTGATAGCACAGAAATACAAAAGATCATCAGAGACTATTATGGACAACCATACACTAACAAGCTGAAAAGCCAGAGGAAATGGATAAATTACTGGACACATACAATCTACCAAGAAAGTCCCCCCAATAAAGAAAAGCCCTAGGACTAATGACATTACTGACGAATTCTTCCAAACTCGTAAAAAAGAACTAACATCAATTCTTGTCAAACTATTCCAAAAAACTAAAGAGCAGGAAAATCTTCCTAACTCATCCTACAAGGCCAGCATTACCCCAATACCAAAACCAAACAAGGACACAACAATTAAGAACATCCCTGATAAACACAGGCATAAACATGCTCAACAAAATACTAGGAAACTGAATCCAACAGCATATCCAAAAGATAATACATCATAATCAATGGAATATACCCCATGAATGCCAGGATGGTTTAACACATGCCAATCAATAAACGTGATACATCACATCGAAAGAATGAAAGATGAAAACTATATAATTATCTCAACAGATGCAGAAAAAGCATTTGATAAAATGTAACATCCCTTCACAATAAAAACTCCCAACAATTAGGCAGAGAGGAAACATACCTCCACATAATAAATGCCATATATGACAAACCCATTGCTAACATCATACTGAATGGAAGGAACATGAAAGCCTTTCCTCTAAGAACTAGAACAAGACTAGGATGCTCACTTTCACCATTTCTATTCAACATAGTACTGGAAGGCCTAGCCAGAGCAATCAGTCAAGCAAAGAAATAAAGGACATCCAAATTGGAAAAGAGAACATCAAATTGTCCCTCTTTGCAGACAACATGAGTTGACATTTGGACATACCTAAACACCCCACAAAAACTCATATAATTAATAAATTCAGTAAGTTGGAGGATACAAAATCAACACACAAAATTTATTAATGTTTCTATAGCTGAATAATAAACTTGCTGGAAAAAAAATAAAAAAGCAATCCCATTTACAATAGCTACAAAAAATAAAAAACTTAGGAATAAATTTAACCAAAGAAGTAAAAGACCTTTATAAGAAAAATTACAAAACACTAATGAAAGAAATTAAAGAGGACACAAACAAATGGAAAGAGATACAATGCTCATAGAATAAAGGAATTTACACTGTTAAAACGACCACACAACTCAAAGCAATCTACAGATTCAGTGCAATCCCTATCAAAATACCATTAACATTTTTTCACAAAAAATAGGAAAAATAATCCTAAAATTCATATGGAACCACGCAAGAGCCTGAATAGCCAGAGCAATCCTGAGCAAAAAGATCAAAGCAGGACGTTGACTTCAAAATATACTACAAGGCTATAGTAGTCAAAACGGCATGGTACTAATGTAAAAAGAGATATATACACCAGTGGAATAGAATAGAGAACCCAGAAGTAAATCCATATATTTACAGCTAAGAGATTTGGCACAAATGTGCCAAGAACATGCAATGGGAAAAGGACACCCTCTTCAATAAACGATGATAGGAAAACTAGATATCCATTTGCAAAAGAATTAAACCTGACCCATATCTCCCACAACATACAAAAATGGACTCAAATTTGATTAAAGATTTAAGCATAAGACCTGAGACTATAAAACTACTAGAAGAAAACATAAGAGAAATGCTCCAGGACACTAATATAGGCAAAGATTGTGTGGCTAAGACCTGAAAAGCACAGGAAACAAAAACAAAAATGGGTGAGATTATATTAAACTAAAATGCTTCCAAATAGAAAAGGGAACAATTAACAGAGACAATCTGTTGAATGGGAGAAAATATCTGCCAACTATTTATCCAACACTAGACTAACATCCAAAAAATACAAGAAACCCAAACAACAGCAACAAAACAAATAATCACATTAAAGAGTAGACAAATAATTTGAGTAGACATTTCTCAAAAGAAGATATACAAACGGCCAAGATACATGAAAATGTGCTCAACGTCACTAATCACCACAGAAATACAAATCAAGACCACAGTGAGATATCTTACTGGCATCTTATGCCTATTAGAATAGCTATTATCAAAAAGACAAACAAAATGCTGGAGAAGATGTGGAAAAAAGAGAACTTTCATATACTGTTGTTAGGAACGTAAGTAGTACAGCCATTATGGAAAACAAAATAAAGATTTCTCAAAAATGTAAATAATAGGATTACCATACAATAATGCTCCTAAATAACAGGATTACCACACAATAATGCTGTAATCCGATTACTAAGTATTTATACAAAGGAAAGGAAATCAGTATATCAAAGAGATACCTGCATCCTCATGTTTATTGCAGCACTAGGCAGAATGGAAAAGATATGAAATCAAGATATGAAATCAAGCTAAGTGACCATCAACAGATGAATGGATAAATAAAATATAGTATTGAAACATAATGGAATATCATTCAACTATAAAAAAAAGACTGAAATCCTGTCATTTGCAGCAATATATATGGAATTGCAGATCACTATGTTAAGTGAAAAAAGCTGGACACAGAAAAACAAATATCATATATTCTCACTCATACATGGGAGCTTAAAAAGTGAATATCATGAAGGTAGAGAACAGAATGATAGTTACCAGAGACTGGGAAGGGTGTGTGTGGGAGGTGGGAGGGTGAAGAGAGATAGGTTAATGGGTTCAAACATATAGTTAGATAAAAGGAATAATTTCTAGCATTTGATAGCACAGTAAAGTGACCATATTTAACAATATGTTGTACATTTCAAAATAACTAGAAGAGAAGATCTGAATGTTCTCAACAAAAACAAATGACAAATGTTAAAGGTGATGGATATTCTAAATACCCTGACTTGATCATTACACATTCTATGCATGTAGCAAAAATCACATGTACCCCATAAATATGTACAAATATTACACATCAATAAAAATTTTTTTAAAGAAAAGCTATGTTAAAAGAATCAAAATTGCTTTTCATTTGGTGGTATATTTCAAATATTATTCTCTACATCACTTAGATTTTCCTTTTGCCTACTTCACAATGTCAAACTATCTGGAGAGTTTCCAATTATCTGGAGCCTAAATTGAAAGATGGACATAAAATGATGAACTCACAAAGGAACGGGAAGAGTCAGCAGTCATACTCTCAAACATTAAACAATACAAACACATAGCAATGATCAACAAAAGCTAGATAAAGTAAAAAAAACTCTAGTTTTAGTATTACCTTTGACCAATTGATTCTCTTCATGGACACTTCAGGTTTATAAATTTTTTTCTGCTTCATTCCATAAGGTAGATTAAGTGATATTCCTGGGGGAGGAGGAACTCCTCCAAGGGGTGGTGGTGGAGGAGGTCCCCCAAATAAAAGTGGTGGTGGTGGTGGTGGTGGTATCCCTATCATTCCAGGTAAAGGTGGTGGTGGAGGAGGAAGAATAGCTCCTCCAGGTAGAGGTGGTGCTGGTGGTGGTGGAGGCGGCCCTACACCTGGCAATGGAGGTGCTGGAGGAGGACCTGGAATTCCTGATGAACTTGAGAGTACTTGTGCCTGAAATATAAATAATCAAAGTTTAAATGCTTATAAAATATAATTGAAAAATTGAAGAAATGTATATCAATAGATATTTGTAGTTTATCTTATGTTTTAAGATTATATACACTTTTTTAGATATTACTAAAATATCTAAATATTTAGCAAGATCTAAGGGTTTAACAGTATATGAAAAAGACTTGTGTAGACTTTTAATAAGCATTATAAATTCTGGACAGTGACTACTTCTGTTACCATACAAATGCTAGGGAAGTTGGTATCTGATATGGTTTGGCTCTGTGTTCCCACCCAAATCGTGATCATGAGCGAGCTCTCACAAGACCTGATGGTTTTATAAGAGGATTTTCCCTGTTTGCTTGGCACTTCTCCTTGCTACTGTGACGTGAAGAAGGATGTGTTTTGCTTCCCCTTTGGCCATGACTGGAAGTTTCCTGAGGCCTCCCCAGTCCTGCAGAACTGAGTAAATTAAACCTCTTTCCTTTATAAATTACCCAGTCTTGGCCAGGTGTGGTGGCTCACGCCTGTAATCCTAACACTTTGGGAGGCTGAGGCAGGCGAATTAGCGGAGGTCAGGAGTTGAAGACCAGCCTGGCCAACATGGTGAAACCCTGTCTCTACAAAAATACAAAAATTAGCCTGGCATGGTGACGCATGCCTGTAATCCCAGCTACTCAGGAGGCTGAGGCAGGAGAATCGCTTTAACCCAGGAGGCAGAGGTTACAGTGAGCTGAGCTTGCACCACTGCACTCCAGCCTTGGTGACAGAGGGAGACTCCATCTCAAAGAAATAATAAAATAAATAAATAAATAAATAAATAAATAAATTACCCAGTCTCAGGTATTTCTTTATAGCTGTGTGAGAATAGACTAATACAGTAAATTGGCACTGGATAGTGGGGTGCTTCTGTAAAGACACCCAAAAATGTGGAAGCAACTTTAGAACTGGGTAACAGGCACAGGCTGGAATAGTTTGGAGGACTCAGAAGTAGACAGGAAAATGTGGGAAAGTTTGGAACTTCCTACAGACTTGTTGAATGGCTTTAACCAAAATGCTGACAGTGATATGAACAATAAAGTCCAGGCTGAGGTGGTCTCAGATGGAGATGTAAAACTTGTTGGGAGCTGGAATAAAGGTCACTCTTGCAATGCAAAGAGACTGGTGGCATTTTGTCCCTGCCCTAAAGATCTGTGGAACTGTGAACTTGAGAGAGATGATTTAGGGTATCTGGCAGAAAAAATTTGTAAGTGGCAAAGCATTCAAGAGGAAGCAGAGCATAAAAGTTTAAAAACATTTGAAGACTGACAATGCAGTAGTAAAGAAAAATCCATTTTCTGGGGAGAAACTCAAGCCCTCTGCAGAAATTTGCATAGGTGATGAACAGCCAAATGCTAATCACCAAGACAATGAGGAAAATGTCTCCAGGGCATGTCAGAGACTTTCATGGCAGTCCCTCCCATCACAGGCCTGGAGGCCTAGGAGAGAAAAACTGTTTCCTGTGCCAGGTTCAGGGCCCTCCCACTGTGTGCAGTCTCTTTGATGCCCTGCATTCCAGCCACCTCAGCCATGGATAAAAGGAGTCATGGTACATTTCGAGACATAGCTTTGGAGGGTGTAAGTCCCAAGCTTTGGCAACTTCCACGTGGTGTTCAGCCTGCAGGTACACAGAAGTGAAGAACTGAGGTTTAGGAACCTCTGCCTGGATTTTAGAGGATGTATGAAAACGCCTGGATGTCCAGGCAGAAGTTTGCTGCAGGGGCGGAGCCCTTATGGAGAATCTCTGCTAGGGCAGTACAGAAGGGAAATGTGGGGTTGGAGCCCTCACACAGAGTCCCCACTGGGGCATTGCCTAGTGGAGCTGTGAGAAGAGGGCCACCACTCTCCAGACCCCAGAATGGCAGATCTACTGATGGTTTGCACCATGTGCCTGGAAAAGCCACAGACACTCAACACCACCTTATGAAAGCAACCAGGAGGGGGGCTGCACCCTGCAAAGCCACAGGGGCAAATCTGCCCAAGTTTGTGGAAACCCACCTCTTGCATCAGCATGTCTTGGATATGAGACATGGAGTCAAAGGAGATCACTTTGGAACTCGGAGGTTTAATGACTGCCCTACTGGATTTCAGACTTGCATGGGGTCTGTAGCCCCTTTGTTTTGGCCAATTTTTCCCATTTGAAATGGGTGTATTTACCCAATGCCTGTATCCCCATTGTATCTAGGAAGTGACTACCTCTTGATTGTACAGGTTCATAGGTGGAAGGAACATAACTTGTCTCAGATAAGACTTTGGACTTGGACTTTCGGGTTAATGCTGGAATGAGTTAAGACTTTGGGGGATTGTTGGAAGGGTATGATTGTGTTTTGAAATGTGAGGACATGAGATTTGGGAGCGGCTAGGGGCGGAATGATATGGTTTAGCTCTGCATCCCCATCTAAATCTCATCTTGAATTGTAATAATCCCCATGTGTCAAGGGCAGGATCAGGGGAGATAACTGAATAACGAATAATTGATAATTCTTGAGTTATCATGAGATCCAATGGTTTTTTAAGAGGCTTTTCCCTTTTTGCTTGGCACTTCTCCTTGCTGCTGCCATGTGAAGAAAGATGTGTTTGCTTCCCCTTCCACCATGATTGTAAGTTTCCTGAGGCCTCCCCAGCTCTGCAGAACTGTGAGTTAATTAAACTTCTTCCCTTTATAAATTACCCAGTCTCAGGTATTTCTTCATAGTAGTGTGAGAAAGGACTAATACAGTATCCTCCAAGATTTTCTGAAATACTCCTCTAAAATAATTAAAAATTAACTTTCTTTATAAATATATGCAAAAAAGAAGTACAGTATATGGCTTGGGCCAGTTAGAGTAGTTGGGTTTGAATATGGGATAATAAATACAAGGTTAGAGATTCAATTTCCTTGGGGGCTAATTAGCTTTATACAAAGAGTCTGTTTCATGGCTCTAGTAACTTAGCTGGCTTCTAACACCAATAATAAATACTCAACAGCATCCATTTCCATAGTAATATATGCTTATCAACATTTTTACATTTATTATTTCTTTTGATCCTTATTATAACCCTTTAATACAGATAGAGCATTATTATCTCACCTTTATTTCACTGCTTAAAGATGAGGAAACTGTTAGCTGCAAAAAAAGTTAAATGACTAACCAAAAGTTTCAGAGTCTGAACGTGATTAGAATTTCAGTGTGGTTCTTCTCACATCCAATACCATCCTCATTCCAATATAAAAGACTGTCTCTTCATGAATGGGTGCCATTTACAATGAGTACAATTAATTCAAATAGATAGGATTATGAGGAGGATATAACATTTCTATCACAAAGTAACTTCAAGCTCATTCTCTAATGACAATGCATAACAGATGAAAGGGAACATTGCATGCCATATCACGTTCTTTTTAGAGATGATTAATCTATATCCATTCCTTAAACCATTACTGATCACAATGGTTCACTTTGCTAAATAATATATATGAAAAAGTAGAGCTGTTCATTATAAACATTCTTATGAAACCACTACCAACGAACATACATCTGTTTTAATCAAGATATGACATTAGATTAACTGAATGAAACATTTAAAACTAATTAAGGCAGTCATGGCAGCCATGAGTTTTTTGCAACAGGCCTCAGTCACTGAAGTGGCAGCTCTCTGGCCAGTGCCTTGACACTCCACTGGGATTCAGCGGCTTCCTCACCCATGGCTCTGTTAAAGCTGTCACTCCTGTTTAACACAGTGGAGACCATGAGAAAAGACTATTTATCATGAAACTTTCTGGATTCCACAGTAGGTGTTTTTTGAATTTATTGAAATTCTACATTTTGTTTACAGGGATTCCAGTGGCAATTGGCGAAACTCTAGTGAATGTATTCATTGGTGAAACTGAACTAGTAGAAATTCCAGAAGGCTATATCCCAGAACAATGGGAATATTATAAGCATCCTATACTGAGATGGATTGTCCATATTTTCTATGATGATCCTGAAAATAATTACAAAAGAACAATGGCTATCCTTCAGACTGAAACTGAAAAGGCTGAACTGCAGATAAAGGAGCTGGAAGTACGAAGATTAATCTAGAAGAGAAGAGATGGACCCTGGTATCAATATCTGACCACTGATAGGGCAACTATGGATCATTCTCCAAAAGCAACTCCCAGTAAATAAGCATTTATTTCTCTAAATACAAAGTGTATTCTCTTTAGTGGAAAATGAATTAGTAAATATATTCTGTAGTTTTGTTCCTTGTGATGAATAAAAGAGCTTCTTACATTACTCTGTTTCTCAATGTTGGTTCATATTAAAGCTTTTAATATATTCTGTATTTCTTTTCCCTGTGATGAATAAAAGAGCTTCTTACACTACTCTATTTCTCAATGTTGGTTCATATTAAGGTTTCTGATTTGGAGGTTTTGGTTTCCTCTTTTAAGAAAGTTTAAAATGTACTAATGAAAAACTGCAGAAATAGGAATTTGTGAACTCCTAAAGTTGTGGTAACTTTGAGAGGTGTTTTATTTACCTGACAAATGGAAGTTATAGAAGTCTAATTATATTAGGTATCAGTAATTGTAGTAGTTTGTACAAATGTCTGTATTACAGACATCTGTATTATTGAGGGGAAATTCAGGATTTTAAGTTCCATAAAATATTGAACTAACTCTGTAAAACATTAACAACTTAATAAACAAATTTTCAGTGAACAACAAAAAAAGTTAATTAAATTTCTTGGGATAGTGTCCTTTTTGTCCTCATTCTTTCATTCATTCATTCAGAGACAGTCTTGCTCTGTTGCCCAGGCTGGAGTGCAGCGGCAAAATCACAGTGCATTGCAATCTTGAACTCCAGGACTCAAGTGATCCTCTCAACTCAGTCTCCTGACTAACTGGGACTACAGGTATGCACCACTAACCCAGGCTAATTTTTTTCTTTTTTTTTAAAGATGGGGTCTTGCTATGTGACCCAGGCCAGTCTCAAATTTCTGGACTCAAGGAATCCTCCCATCTTGGTCTCCTGAAGTGCTGGTATTAAAGGCAAGAGGCACTGTGCCTAGTCCTCTCACCTTTATTAATACAAATTTTCTACTTGGATTATTTAGTTGTTCTAACTAAATTTATAAATATCTTTATTTATTTATTTTACTTTATTTTATTTTTGAGACAGAGTTTTGCTCTTGTTGCCCAGGCTGGGGTGCAGTGGTGCAATCTCAGCTCACTGCAACCTCCGCTTTCCGGTTTCAAGCTATTCTCCTGCCCCAGCCTCCTGAGTAGCTGGGATTACAGGCGCCCACCACCACGCCCGGCTAATTTTTGTATTTTTTGTAGAGGTGGGGATTCACCATGTTGGCCAGGCTGGTCTAGAACTCCTGACCTCATGATCTGCCCACCTCAGCCTCCCAAAGTGCTGGGATTACAGGCGTGAGCCACCGTACACGGCCATACATATATTTAGAAAGCAAATTGAAGCAAATTTTTGGAACAACCAGTTGAAAGGACTAACCTATTTACAAAAATATTAAAGCTAACACTCATAGGTAGACAAGATCATGGAAAGGTTACCCATAATATTCACTCACACTAGTTTGTTCACATAGATGAATGTTAATGTATGTATATACATACATACAACTAAAGTGTTTCTATGCTTAGCAAATGACCATCCTTTCCTGGAATGCAATTCTCTCTGAGGTTAGAAAGAAAGACAAGATTAAAATACGTAAAATTATTTTAATTTTACTTTTAAAGTAGCAAAACTATAGAAAACAGTCTGATTTTATAGTCTTAACTGAGACAAAAGTAATTGTGGCAAAATTAAAGGTTCAGAAAATTAGTAATTTATCCTACAAATTTTGTGTATGAAAGGATGTTTTTCATACTTTGAAAGGCAAAATGTGTGTCCCATTTTTTAATTAATGGACAACATAATTCAAAGTAATACACATTTGTAAACATCATTCAATTTTTCACCTCTATTAGATCATATTTATTCTCAGAATTTTATACAACCACAAAATGCTACTATTTAAATAAAATTTTACTCAAGTTAAATATGTATTTTACAAATTTAATAAGGAATCTCAAATATTGACATTAAATGCTACCAGCCTTTAAAAATCAAATTATATCAGCCTTTCCTTTGCCTCCCATGAACAATTAGGAATTGAATAACTAAATTAGGCTACCACATCGTATTGTAAATTGAATATGGTAAATGAATAATTTAGTATTTGACATTATTTTGTGCACACTAGAAAGTATACAGCCCTGTGCCTGCACCTGTAATCCCAGCTACTCCTCAGGAGGCTAAGGTAGGAGGAATGCTTGAGGCCAGGAGTTGAGAGTGCTTCGTGATTCTGCACTTTTTACAGTTAATTTAACCATAAGTAAGTAACTACTCACTGTGTGGTGAAGGCCTGTGCAAGGTACAGTGGGGCCTTCAATGAGAAATACACTGTCCTCAAAGTGTCTATGCTCTAGCAGAATAGAGCAGGCACACAAGTATCCCATGAGTGGTCTAGAAAAGTGATATGAAAGTTCAGAGAAATTCGCTAATGGAGTTTTTGGTGAAGCTTTCCAAACAATGTCTTAATGAGCTTCTCCTTAAAGGATATGTTTCACATACACAGATGAGCAAAGGAGGGAATTTCTGACAGAGAATAATATATGCCAACATTTCTCTACTAAGCTCTATGAAAACACTATTTCCTGGAGATGTTGAAGGGTGCTCTGAGATAAATGGTGCCATGGTCAAATGAGTATGGGAAATCGATATGAAAAAGAGGTAGGCAGGTTTCTTCAATGTAAAATATCTGGAACTTTTAATATGCTAATGAGTATTATGAATCTCCAAGATGAGAACATGTGTACTCAATTTATAGGACTATGGAATGCTTTCGTCATGAACAACCTATCGTCATTTCTGTAACTAATCTCTGGGAAATGCTGGCAGAAGGGTTAAGTATGGAGACAGTAATTTCCAAATGTGAAGGGAGGAAAGGTGACTTAGCTGCAACGGAGGCCGTAGTTAGGGGAGCAGTCAGAGCCCAGGCTGCAAAGGGGAGATAAGGGAGGAAAAACCCATGCCAGAGCGTCTTTAACATTCCTGGTAAGGAGATTTTATTTAATCCTGACTGCAATAGGCAACAAGTGAACATATTAAAGCCTGGAGTGACAATAATCAGGGAATTGTTTCAGGAAGATTAATTTGCCACTGACATAAAGGATGAATTTGAGGAGGGAGAAAAGTTAGGCAACAATTGTAATAGTCCAGACGAGACATCATAAGAGAGTGAACCTGGAGGTTTCTGGGTTTTGATGCAAAGAGGTGTAGTATGAGTGGAGTTGAAGAAAGAACAGACATAAAACAGTGACTAGCTTAATTTGTCAGTGGGTGGGGCAAGGAAAAGGGAAAGAAAACTCCAGCTTCACCATCTTTAAAATTGGTAGTAAAATTTAAATAGGAATGGACAACAAACTGGTTTGAGGAAAGAGAGAAAACCACAAAACTGGGTTTGATTTCAACATGCAACAGGACCATCCTATGGGGCCAGCTAATCAAGAGCTGGAATTAGAAGACAAACTCCAGAGACTTGACACCTACTAAAAGGGGATATGTGAATGTATAATACTGAATGGAATAGTACAGCAAAAAAAAAAAAAAAATCACAGAAAAGAGCAGAGGACAGAATATTGTGGAAGGTCACCATGTAAGGATGAAAAAATAAGGACAAACTAAGTTCTCAAACATGTAGAAAAAGAAGTCCAAGAAAAAGGGAGGGAAAGAGACAGAGAAAGAGATTAATTTATTGAAAAGAAATGATCAAATATTAGAGATAAGTAATACAGGCTAAGGGAAGGAAAAGGCCCCTGGATTGGGTATTTTGGAGTTTGTTGGTGACTTTTGAAGTAACCTTTCACGAGATTGGTGGAAACAGACCTAGTCAATCCACAAATATCTACTGAGTACCCACTATGTTAAGACATCATCTTCAATTTCTTTGTTTTTTTGTTTTTTGTTTTTTGTTTATTGAGACAGAGTCTCACTCTGTCACCCAGGCTGGAGTGCAGTGGCGTGATCTCAGCTCACTGCAAGCTCTGCCTCCTGAGTTCTCACCATTCTCCTGCCCCAGCCTCCCCAGTAGCTGGGACTACAGGAGCCCACCACCATGTTTGGCTAATATTTTTTGGTTGTTTTTTTTTTTGTATTTTTAGTAGAGACGGGGTTTCACAGTGTTAGTCAGGATGGTCTTGATCTCCTGACCTCGTGATCTGTCCGCCTCAGCTTCCCAAAGTGCTGGGATTACAGGCGTGAGCCACCGTGCCCGGCCCATCTTCAATTTCTTAATATTCATTTAAGACATAAAGTATATTGAGGAGAATACACAATCAGTTTGAAAGTTTAGACACCCTAATTGAAATTTTAAGTATATATGGGAGCTTTTCACCATAGGGAATGTAGGTGGAAATTTACTTGAGATTCAAAGAGATCTCAAGAGAAGCTTTTGGCATAATTACAATTAATGACTATTTCTACATTCTTTTTGAAAGAAAATAGTATGTACCCAATTTTTTAAATCATCATGAAAGTTTCATCTCAAAAACACTTTTGCTTCTGTAATATATTCTGTTAAAAATATTCCGGGCCATTTGAGCAACTAATGCTTTATTTTTTTTCCAAGCATTAAAATGATTTATTGTCCTGGAATATAAAATCTGTAGAGTTATTTCAATGAAAATGTAAAACTGCCAAAAAGTCTGCTTCTGGTCACATTTTTCCTTCTATCTAACAAGACAATTTTCTACCATCAAACTCGCTGTGACATGACACAAAGTCTATATCTTCTTTCATTACCTGGGTTCGAAGTTGCTGGATTTCTGCTTCAAGTTCTTTGATTTTCTCATCTCTTTTTTGAAGCTCTGCTTGAGCTTCCTGTCGAGCTGTGAATTCTTCATCGAACTGCAATGATCACCACCATCAATGTACAGTTAATAATATAGTTTTGAGAAAGCTTTAAAGAACATTATGTATTAAATAAGATTTACTTAGTTGAATTCCCAGATCACTCAGAAAATCACAGCTTGTAATTATTTTCATAACAATTAAGTATCCAAGTGGAGGTAGGGTATTGCTTGTGGTGGTAGTAAAGAAGAAATATGCCCCCTACCCAAGGTAAGAAAACACATTTTCACTTCTGAAAAAAAATACAAAGACGAAAAGGTAGACTGAAAAGTCTCTCTTCCCACATAATGGACATTTTTATTGTTCTGTTATTGAAAATTCAATTTTAGAATTAATAATTTTAAAAATATTTTATCCCATACTTTTTTTTTTTTTTTTTGAGACAGAGTTTTACTCTTGTCGCCCAGGCTGGAGTGCAGTGACATGATCTCAGCTCACCGCAACCTCTACCTCCTGGGTTCAAGCAATTCTCCTGCCTCAGCCTCCCAAGTAGCTAGGATTACAGGTGTGCACCACCACCTGGCTAATTTTTGTATTTTTAGTAGAGATGGGGTTTCGCCATGTTGGCCAGGCTGCCCTTGAAGTCCTGACCTCTGGAGATCCATCCGCCTTGGCCTCCCAAAGTGCTGGGATTACAGGCGTGAGTCACCATGTGTGGCCTCATCCCATACTTCTAAGTTTACTGAATTAGAAAATGACATCTAAAAATAAACCATCAAGCAGTTTCAACTCCTTAACTATATTTAATCGTGAAAATAAATTGCGCTTTTAGAATGCTCAAATGTATGTATATTAATACAAATTGGAATTATTTCTATTGCAATCTTAGTTGTCTAGAATCCATAAAGCAGTACTTCACAAACTCTGACAGTAGAATGCCCTAATAGCAGTCTCATTCAGATGGTTAACCAAAACATTTGTATAGCATGTTATGAAAGGAAAAACTAGAGGTTAAAATAAGGGGTGCTAAGCCAAAAAGACTCTGAATGGTTAATATTTATTCACTGTATCCTGCCTTAGCCTTACCTCAGACAGGGCTCTAAGCAGGCACAAACCTGCCTACATATTTCCAGTGACTACTGCCTGGGTCTGGCTATAGAACATTTTATTTGCCCTTTATTGTCAATGTTGTTTCAAGTCAATTTAGAAGTCTATACATTATTCTAACAATGTTATTTCTGTTTCTAAAAGTGATACATCTTACTGCCCAAAACCATCTTAGAGTTTGCGGAACAATATAAAAGTATGTTTAGTGTTAACAAATATTCATCCTCATAGTAGCTTTGACCTTTGGAAATTATAAAATGCCATTCTGATCTAAGTCTGAAGAGTAGGTGACCAAACTGGATAATAATACTCTTTGGGTCGAACCTGAAATGCTTTTATTCATCTCTCCTTGAATCCCTGGAAATTGTCCCACAGATCCTGGTCCAAATATTCTCTAATTTCTTTAAATTTCAAACCTACCCCAGATCCTTGGAGGGAAGGATCCATATATCCTTCAGTCAATGACCTTGTTTTCCTACCTCATTAAGAAGATGGATGTCCTCCAATGTGAGCTTGTTTGCCTTTACTACTATCCGTGTTAAGATTTATCTCAATCTGTACTCCCATCCCCACTCCTAAAGTTAGCTTCTCCTATGTGCTTCTAAATCATGGCACCTACACGAGCACACTATACACATTTTTTCCTCTATAAATGGTTTATTAGTATGTTGGAGGAGAGGCACACAGTGTTTCTGCTTTTAATTTAAAATTACCTTAATCTGCAAACACAGCAAATGGGGATCACAGAAGCCTGAAATATGTGAGCTGGAAGAGGTCTTCTTACAAGTCCACTAATTTTATTCTTTCCTTTTAATGATGAAGAAACTAAGATCTAAAGAGAGTAAGTGGCTTACCCAAAGTCACAGCTAATTAGTGGAAAAGCTGAGATCAGACCTCACAACTACTGCCTCTCATTCTAGCACTTGTTAAAAAATGACTTTATACTGACTCTTAAAATGACCCAGAACAAGGGGATGCATGTAACTAACCACTGGGAGACCATACAGGTTTTCATTCTAAATGTTGGTGATGAAACTAAAGCATCAAACACTGAAATTTCTTTTCTATTACTTCAGGACTCCTTTTTCCATAATACATATGCTCACAAAAAAACTTTACCATACAGATAGTCACAATTTGCTCCAGTCTTGTAGTATGTAATCACAGTGCCAGCCAAAACTTAAGGAGATTCTAAGGTTTTCAAAGGGAATTTTAAATGTGCTGCTTAAAACAAGAACATTAGAAATATAAAGGTCTATTAATCAAAAAGCATGCATTTTCTTTCACCAATAAAAATGACAGCTCCACACAAACATTTTATGCTCAAGCTCTTAAAATCTATTCTAGTAACTGAAAGAGCAAAGACATTTCTTCAGATGCCCTGAAGTAACTTCTTCAGTAATACTCTATGATTTCTAAAGTGATAGCAAAAGTGATTATCTAATCTCCAAGGTAAGTCATAACTTTGAAGAGACAGCAGTATGTAAGCACATTATCTTGCTGTCAGAAGGCTGAAAACTGGAGAGCTTTTCGACGTGTGCTTCAATCCTTCTGCCTGCACCCAACAGGAGAGAAATACTATGCTAATGCTTAATAGGCTCTAGAACAGAAAAAGAGAAACTTGTGGTATAAGCTAATAAAATTATAGCTATGCTTCCATGAAACAAGGAAAAGACAAGCTTAGATCTGAATACAATTCAGATATTCATAAAGCTGGCATTTACTCAAAGGCATTTAAGACATTAACACAGAAAGGGATCCTCAAATTCCACCAGGCCTACATGAAGTAGCAGCATCACTTACAAAATGATAATTACAAAATTCAAAGAAGCTAAGTCTAAACAGAGAGAGAAAGAGAGTGAGAAAGAGAGAAAACACTGCAACATGTTATTGCTATCAATAGCACTGACACAAAAGACCACAACAGAAAAGACTAGCTAAACATCTCACAGTTCTCCAAAGAGCTACCTACTGCAAGTGACAGCTGCAGGAAAGCAATGGGAGAATTTATTTTGGTTGATTGCTTCCAACTATACCCTTTCAGCAATGTAATTTGATTTCATGTATCACTTTAGTATAATGTGGCTAGTGTTTTTCTTCCATAATGGATTAAACATGATGAGGAGAGAACAATAGTAACCTTACCTTATAAGGAGATAAATCAATATTCCATGGCTATGTTTGAATCCAAAAATATAAAGTACTACATAAATGAAACATTTAGAAGGCCTCACATTAATAAAGAAAGTAGAGTATTACTGTGATTAAATTATTAACTTAACGATTATGGCTAATACTTTATAAGCTTACCTTCTTTGAAAACTCTGCAGCTCTTTGTTCACTTTCTTCAACTTTAGCCTTGTTCACACAAGAATCTATTAAGATCAACCAAAAGTGATTCAAAATTATGGCATGAGATCACTAGACAAAAGATGTCTTCTAGCCTATAACTCTGCAATGCAGACTATCATTTTTACGTCAATTGTTACTAAATGGAAATTGACCTATACTACACACAAAACATAAATATCATATATTCTTTGTTTAGCATACTAACTGAATTCAATGATAGTATTGTGAAGGCACAACACTAAGCATCCATAAACATATCTCATTAAATTATTTTTATGGGTATTCGATTATTTTTCAACTATAAAACACTTCAAAACCCCATAGTTTATTATGGGTGGAGAGGTGGCAAAGACTCCATGTTTAACCTTAATAATGTTAATAAGATATGAATAGTCTTAGCAAGATTCAAAACTGTCTCACAAAAAAGCTAGAGAGAGACAGAATAATATTCGATAATTCAGGCTTCTTCTTGAAAAGATTTTTACTTCTGATCTGGGGCAAAATGTATCATGTACATAAGGAAACAGACTTCAGACTTCTCAGGTCAAATCAAACACTTCAGAATATAAATAACTGAAGAAAAACTTTTGGGCAATATTGTATCTCTCATTATTTTACGTACATATAAACTCTATTCTGTAGCCATTCTACATTTATTTATCAAAAAGAAATAAAAATATATACCAGTACCCAGAATTGTATGTGAATATTCACAGCAGTTTTATTTATAGTAATCCCAAACTGGAAAGAACCTAAATGGCCATCAACAAGGGTATACATAAACAAACTGTGGTATATCCATATACTGGAATACCACTCAGCAATATAAAGGAATGAACTATTGATACAGGCAATACAACAACATGAATGAATCTCAAAATAATTATGCTGAAGGCAAGAAGACAGGCAAAAAGTGTATATGCTGTATGTTTCTATTTTTATAAAATTTTTAAAAGTGCAACTAATAAGAGAGACTATAAAATGTAACTAGTAAGAGAGAGATCAGTAATATCCCAGGATGGGAAGATGTGGTAGACATGGAAAGAAAGAACTAAAAGGACAATGCAGAAACTTTAGGGTGTAACAGAATTATTATCTTGACATTGATGATGGTTTTAAGTGTCTATATTAATAGCAAAATTTATCAAATTCTATACCTTAAATATGGGTAGTTTTTCTTACATCAAATGTACCTCAATAAAGCTGGTTTGTTTGTTTAAAGCAACTGAGGAGGAAAGTAGGAAATGATGAAGTCAAAGAACAGCCATATCTAAGCTGTGCTAGTCACGGTTGGTAATGATTTTGAATTTAAATTTCAATGGAAAGGCATCAGAGAGTTTTAGGCAGAGATCTGATACGATTTGATTTATGAAAGATATCAGACTTAAAGAATTGTGACATTACAAGAGACTCTAATCTCTTCAGGTCCGAGTCATCTTAAAATACAGATCCATGGATTTCCTAGAAGTTCTTGCAGCACCTAATTTTTGTGTATATGAACTTATGTGTGTTCTAATCAAAGTTCCAAGCATTTGTCAACTTCTCACAAAGGATTTTGACCATAAAATATTAAGAGCCACTCATATATGTGACTTACTCAATTTTAAAGTTGAGGAAACTAAAACCTAGAGAAGTTAAATGATTTGTTCACAATCACAGAGATGACAGGTGGATAACATCACAATGGGTTTATGATGCCGACTATCCTCTCTCACCTGATCCCTTCATCTCTCCTCACCCAACACTTTTGATTAATGATAAAGAATCATAGTACCTGGTACACAGTACACAAAACAAACGTCTGTTGAATACTGACTACTACTTGACTAAATTATTATTTTTACAGGTATTCAATTATTTTTCAACTATAAAATACTTCAAAAAACTATAGTTTATTGTGTGAGAGGTGACAACAACTCCATGTTTAAGATTAAGAAGATCAAAATCAACAGTAGCGTGTGTGTCCTAACTATGGTCTATAATGAATTATAAGCTAATACACTTATTTGAAAATAGTCCTTTATGACTCCTTCAACAAAATGCAAAATAAACTTGTTTTTCAAACTCATTGAAAAATATGCAGTGAGGCTAGAATTCACATTCACTGCTGGGTAAATTAGCACAAGCTTTCTGAAAAGCATTTGGCCTTTGAAGGTTCATACTTTCACTTATGGAAATCAATCCTAAGGAAATAATGAGAAAAAGACAAACATTTATATACAAGAATGTTGACAGCACATTCATTTATAACTGCGAAAATCTAAAAACAATTGTGAATGCACAAAAAGAAAGGACTGGTTGCAATGGTTATGGTATTTCTCAAAATGGAATATTACACAGACATCAAAAGTCACATTTTGAAGGTTAACATGGAAAAACTCTCATAATATAACACTCCAAGAAAAATCAGCATTCAGAGAGATAGATAGGTCATAAAGAAAGAGATATAAGGAAATGTACCAAGCTGAAAAGGGAGCGATCACGAATGTGATTGGTGGTTTGTCACTTACATAAGTCTCTAGATTGCCTGATTAAGTACGTATTACATTTAAAACAGAATTAATACATAAATAATAAGTTATCCATCTTTGAATGTTACTGTATATCTGCCTTGTGCTATGGAATAAAAAATAATATATAATTGGCATACAATAGCTTTTGTTTTCTTTCTCTAAAAATAAGACAAGTTCATGCTTGAATCTTAACGACAGTGAATCCAATTAAGTATAAATAAGACTGCTTAGCTATAAGGCTAGATAGCATAGCACACTTCACAAGGGAAGGTTCAGATCATCCTTCAGAGGTTGTTCTGAAAAGTATCGCTAACTACCAGTCTAGGATGATATAAGGAGCAATCTAAGGAGATGAATATGATCACCTCAAATTCTTTCTAACTCTAAGGTCTATGAAAACATAAATTGATCCATTTGAGAGCCTTAGAAGGTCTCAAGTTATTGAAATGAGCCTGTATTTCTTTTCTAAAACTTGAGCATTAATAACATAACTATAATGAGACCCCACTGTATTTCTACAAGACCACTAAAGTACCAGTATAAAATGAAAAGATTTCAGTCATGTTTCTAAATAGTAATGCATTCATCTATAATAATATAATGGGTTCTTGTGGGACACTAAGCTTAAACTACCTCCAGGAGTGTTGGAACTTATTAAATACGTTAATATTTCTTTCTTTTTTTTTTTTTTTTGTGACAGAGTCTCGCTCTGTCACCCAGGCTGGAGTGCAGAGGCACGATCTCGGCTCACGCAAGCTCCGCCTTCCGGGTTCACGCCATTCTCCTGCCTCCGCCTCCGAGTAGCTGGGACTACAGGCGCCCGCCACCAGGCCTGGCTAATTTTTTTGTTTGTTTTTGTAGAGACGGTGTTTCACCGTGTTAGCCAGGATGGTCTCAATCTCTTAACCTCGTGATCCGCCCACCTCGGCCTCCCAAAGTGCTGGGATTACAGGCATGAGCCACCGTGTCCGGCCCCCTAAATAGGTTAATATTTCTAATCACACAGGCAGAACTCTCATGACCATTAAAATTAACAATTATAGCAATTGAGTGCCCACAGACACAATGATTTACCAGATATGAATAGAAGTTCAGTAAGAACTGAAACTTCTTACTGAACTTCTTCACTTAAAAAGTGCTTATAATACAGAAGGCATAAAACGCAATCAGAGGACAATGAGGATTATGATACGTACCTATCAGGTGAGTGAAATCGATGTCTAATCGTTGCCTGTACTTGAAGTCTGGATCCATACCACTGCAGTGTAGCACTATCTGTGAAACGCATTCCTCAATTATTTTATAATATTGTGGTCTGAAACAGAGAGAAAGTATTCATGAATGCCTTTCTATCCATGCAAATCAATTTTCTTTAGAAGACTTTCAACGTATTAGAAGAACTAGGTCTTTTTCTGGAGTTGTTTTAAAAATCCTGCAGACACTACACTTCCTCAGGACAGGTATGCCTAAGCTTAGGGATGGTCTGGCTGTTACAGTACCAAACCCATTGTGATGTAATCAACTACATCTAGTGACTTCATAATCTAGTTTGCAAGGATTCAAGCTTGTGTTCAAAGATACTTATCAACCTTTTCTATGTACCCATGCTATTTTTTCTAAAGTTAATAAAAACAAATGAGCTGTTAGTCCTACATTAATGGATACAGAAATGGTTCTACGCATCCACAGGTTCTCAATTTCAATAAAGGATGAGTTTCTTCTCATTACGTGGCAAGCAATGTGTTGAATTTACTACAGCACTTTTAGTCAAGATAGCTATAAAGGCTTACAAAACTGGACAGAGCCACTTATATTACAAGACTATCCAAGGATCTATTTATGCAACACATTTTAGAAGACCCATTTTATAAAAGCATACACACTTAATATGCATGGCTATTGCTTCAATTTGTTTAAAGTGTCAGAGGTTTTAAAATATATCCTAATTCTGTAATCTATCAAGGTAATTCTGGCCTTAAAAATGACCATTCACATACTGCAAAATTTTTTAAAAGGCACTTTTGCATTAAAATTTGGGTAAGATTTAGTATTTGTCAGAGGATAATAAATTTAACAGAGAAAAATCAGTAGTAAGAAGTATGACTATAGACAAATTACAATATAAACTTCCCTAAATATAGTGTGCTGATAACTAGCCAACCTACTAAAAGTTTGTAAATGAAGCCAAATAGACTCTAATTGCTCTTCCACGTCTTTAGTAATGGGTCTGGTCCCAAGAATAAGAATAAATAGTAATACATATTACACATCTGGGTTTTTTCAAGTCATCATCAGGTCTAGAGTAAATAATACTGGATTACAACCTCAGTCTAGTCAATAAATAAGGAAAACACAGCTGTTCCCTTTCAAGCCAGGTTAATCATCCCTAAGTGGAATAAAATGCTTGTCACACTTCTGCCTCACATGGATGTTCTTAGGATGAAAAACATGCCATATAAGAATAACTTCTTACTTAGTTGCTGAGAAATGGATACTTTCACATAAATGATGTTCCCCAGCTAACTGAGTACCTGTGGGCACAGTACCCCTTTTAAATTTGTTAGAACTTAATTAAAAATACAATAATTTTTAACGTATTAGCAGCCTTGCTGTTTAAAAAACAGCACAAAATTTACTATTTTAAACATTTTTTTATGTCTCTGTCATGTCACAATGTCCATCAAATTATTGTACTGGTCTGAGCTATAATAGTTTTCTATGCTGCTTTACAGCTATAATTTTTGTTGAGACTGTGCTGACCTCATGGTAGCTTTCCTTTTCCCTTTAATCAAGCAGGTTTTAAGAAATCAAAGAACCCAGGTTGTCAGAATTTCACACAAATTAGAGGATGAAGAACAACTAAGAGTCTCTTTAACAGTTAAATATAATATCATGGTCACCAGCCTGTGGATAATTTCAGTCACTCAGAAGCCCTTTCATAACTTTCTGGTTTTCCGATATATTCCCATTTAACTAGATTATAAAACTTTTAACTTTAGTGGTTATTATCATACTCATTTATTTTGAAGGATGATATTACTAGACATAAAATTGAAATATTAGCACTATTATTTTCTTAGATGTTAAGATCACATTTATTATTAGATAAATACTGTAAACAGAGAAATAACAATAAAATCTTACTTAATATGCACAAGATAAAACCTTTAAAGTTCTACCCCAGAATCTTCAGTGCTTTTTCTGTGATATCACTATCTAGAAAAGAAAATTCATTGCAGGGCCAGTGCAGTCTGTTGGGTTCATTCCTACCAAAGTCCTATCACTGGAGTACCCATTTTTAAAAGTGCATCGCTCTCTTCTGGCCAAATTTTAAAAAATGAACACCTTTTAGAAAATGTTACCTAAAGGAATCAAACTGTTATACCCTCTGTGTATATATATGCATATATTGCATAGGCCCCACTACATTGTTCATTTTCCTTTAATACCCAATTCAAATTATAAATATAGTACTCTCAGAACTGCCTCTTACCTGATATAATAATCATTTCTGATGAGCAAAAAATGTTGTAGAATGGATAAGAAGTAATTTTCAGCAGCAGTGTCCTTCAGCATATTATACAGAAGATGGTAGACTTCATTCATATCAGTAGAAAGTAAAGGAAAAATATTAAAGATTCTTGATGGGAGTCTCATTCATAACAAAGGAGTTTAACTTTGTAAAACATCGACTTATAATCTTGCTTCCATTGCTATTTCTAAACCTTCAACTCTATGATCCAGTACTTAAATATCTGCATAAAGTAATGATTCTATGGAATCATTTTGATCTTTTAACTAGAGAGACAGACCTCAAGAGCATGTCCGAGACCATCTGACTGCCAAAATCTTAATTGATCCGTTATACATATTTTAAAGTCCAGATTATAGCTGGTACCATTGGAACAGCAATGCCATCAGTGAAAATGGTCTCCTTTTGATCTTCCTGTAGTTGTGATAGAGGACCTATATTATTTATGCAAATCACTACTACTCTATTTTCACTGCCACATAAGATAGAAGGCAAATGAGCTGCTGTAAACTGCTAAAAGGTCACAAAATCAGTTTTATTTTATCCAGATGAAATACTTACTAAATCTGCAATTATTATTGTTTGCATTCATTTGTATTTCATTATTTGATAAAAAATGAAAAGTAGAGACAAGATATAAAGAGTGGCAGAAATTTAGATGCTTCTAGTAAACTAGAAATCGGATTTCCACAAATGGATCCATTTTTGTAATAAAAGTGAGGACCTGGAAAACCAAGGTAAAATAAAGATAAAAGACAAGATGTAATTTAATATCCTAAAATAACCTCAAATGTCAACATTTTCTCCAAAGTAGAATTAAGCATACGATGGCTTACTTCTTAGACCCTACATAAGAGTGTTGTGCTAAAGTCTCATGAGGTCCTTAAATGGCTACACAATGGATCCAAAAATAGCTTTATGGTGAAGTTTGATTATAAGAGAAATCTATGTAAAGCAAGATATTAATTGATATGAAAAACATTTAATATTATAGAAGCCACAGTAGACTGGCATCTCTAATGATGAATAAAAATTACTAGAAATTATTCCTTATAATAATAACATTGTTATTCATTGCACACACACTTATCCAATACCTATGTGTAAGACTTTCATAGGTGCATTGAAGGAAAAAAGATTAAACATAACATTTCTGCCCTCAATCTCACAGGGGCACAGAAGTGTACATAAATAAAATAGAACAAACAAGGTACTTTGGGTATTTCAAGGAGGGGAATATTACTTCCAGCTTTGGGGAGTGGGGGCGAGGAGCAGAAAAGGGAAGAAAACATTACTGAGAAAAAATCCAACTCAAAGGTCACTTTGGTTCTGACATGTTTCCCAACTTCACCAGAATCCATTAAGTAAGAAACATAACAGGTGTGAAACAAATGGCCAGCAATGCTATGACAACCATCTCTTAGATCTAAAATAATTTCATATAAAATTGTTGCCGTCGGAAGGTTATACGCTAGTCGTATTTGACTCAGATGCTTCTACCACATAGCTTTGCTATATTCAGATACTACTGTATCTAAGCATTTTTGTTATTGTTAAGAAACACAAATATTTGAATACAAAATAAGATATTTATTTGAATTGCCTTGTATCTCTAAGTCACTGAAGCTTGATTTAATAAACTGAATAAGTATTTCACCTATAGTCACATACGAACGCAGTGAACTTTTCCCCCAAAAAATCCGTACATGTAAGATATATTACCTTATGCTATTCTTTATTCAAGACCACTGAGCAGAGTATACCTATAATACTGTGAGCCATTGTGCAGATTTCAATACACTCTGTGTAAATCATCAAGACAGCCTGACAATTCCTCAACATGAATCTCAAGGACAGCATTATAGTAAGGTTCTAATATAAATAAATGGATATAAATTGGGCTGACAGACAAGAACTCTAATAATGATCCACAAAATTGCCCACAAATCCCTTTCTCACAATGCACACAAAATTGTTTTGTGGTTTGTCAAAGGATATTCCATTTCTGCTCGAATGTCATTGAGACGGTGTGATAATTCAGTTAGGTCATCTTCTTTGTTTTCATCAAATACTTTCAACTGAATATCAAGCTCATCATTTTCTTTTTCTTTTAGATCCTAATATATAAACATAAAACTTAACACATGAATAACAGTTTGACAACAGCATATTTAGGTAATAAAGGGCAGAACACAATTATTCATTTATAAACACAGAAGCAATTTCAAATATTGACGCGGGCACTTGGTTTTCTGAAAGTAAATGTAGCTGAATTTTTCTATTTCAAAATAAAAGGACCTCATTGCATTCACTTAATTTTTTTCCATGCCCTACATTTTGATTACTCACATTAAAAAATTAGCGATCAGTTCTACAACAGAAAAAAACTAACTGCTAACAACCCAAATTAAATGCTGTCGTTTTGACTAAACACACTAATCAAAGATTGCAAAAGAACTCATGCAGTCAGAACATTCACATATGCCTCTGGCAAAAAATGCAAATACAGATCAATTGTATTAACGAAGAACAAATGCAAGGATATATTCAAGCACAACAGTCCCAAGTATGGCGTGAAAAGATGTATAAACACATTTATTTTAAAAGATATTTTGTGATTTTAAAGCAAAAAGGCGTTTGGACTTTTTATTAAGCTGTACATCTAACCTCCTCCCCCACCTTATATTTTTGCTTAGCCTAATCACAAAATACCAACTTGGGCATAAAAGTTATGTTTTTGTAATACATTATAAGCACATGCATTACAAACCTCTGATAATTTTCATAATAATAGTATAAAAAATTTAGAAGCATGCCACACTAGAGATTGTTGGGCTCAATATATATCACCTGGAATATCTTTTAATATGTGTCCATTAAGTTGCAGCTTTCAAAACCCAAATCGATAATCACAACTGTGGATGCTCAAGGGTGATACCGAAAGTGGGACTAGGATGTTCAGAGCTGAGCTTGAACTCTAAAAGGAAATGCAAGCATGGTGTACTTCAAATTAGGTCGATAAAACAAAATGGGATACATTTCTTGTTTCTATCTTTATTCAATAGAACTATTATAGATATGTAATGGCTATTACTGAAGCCAAATAAATTTCAGCAATTTCTAGATGCTTTTTTTTCTAACACTCACATACATAATGATTTATTGAAAATTTACCTGCAGAGCATATGAAAATAATTGTTTCTACATAATTTCATATCAAACATAAGTAAATATATTTATGTTTGGTTTCCTTTTTAGTAATAACTTGCTTTAGCTCTAGTTTTCCAGTTTGAAATGGAATGAAGAAACTTATTAGAATGCAAAATTATCTAACGTTGCTGGGTCATATTATCAGGTGATTTCTGAACGCTATTTAGAAAATTACATAAGCCAGACAAACCCAATACACTGGTCACTGCAGAAACAACCTGTCACACATTTTACAGTATGTCTTATTCTTGTCACCATATATTCTCTCTCAGAAATTAATCGTAAAACTTAAACACTTTCAAATATGTCAGAAAAACAGAGAAATTTAAGTACTGCCATTTAGCATAGAACGTTACAAAACATGAAAATCAGTCAGCATAATTAAAATATTTTCAGTGAAAATAACTGGTTAAATGTGCAATTTAGTTCTTTATTAGATCCAGACATTATTTATACTATATATAGTATATGAGCACATATAGCACAATATAAAATTTAGACATGTGTAACTGCAGTATTTTATAAATATTCTTTATTAATAACGCTCCAGGTCTATCAGAGTCAGTCCTCATTTAATGTCCTCAGTAGTTCTTGGAAACTGCAACTTGAAGCAAAAAATGTATAGCAAAACCAATTTTCTTTTCTCATCAACATTATAATGAAAGGACATTATTCAAGGACCTACTGTATACAGTTTTGCTTCCAGGTGCAGTTCGCAAGATTCTATCAATGACATTAAATGAGAAGTTACTGTAAATATATATGCATATACACATACATATATATATGCTTATATTTATGAAACTTCCTTTCAGCCAAATGTCAAGCCTTGAAATATTCATAAATTCTTGATAAAATAAACATTTACTGAATAAAAATTTTTACATAGTACAAACAATAAATAATAAGATGGGTCTCCTATAAAAGTAAATGGAAATCTATCACGGAAGTTTTATGTTTTAAAATGTGAACTACCAAAAAGTTACTGAAATACATTGTAATTAATTATGTGAAACACTCTATGCTTGTTATTTTTTAAAAAGACATGCTGTATAGATCTAAAATTATTTTTTGCAGAATTCCTGACATATGTAATTTTCTATAACATAGTATACTTCAAAGGAAATCAAAGTCCATTGCCAGTACACTACTGATTGACAACCAACCAAAATTGAGTCTTTAAAACAGGAAAGAGTTTCTCAGACTTTTAAAGAGATAAAAGTATGCCTACTGCCTACCAACACCATTTCTTACTATGTTTTTCCTTCACGTATCTGATTTAACTAATATTTTCTTAATTTATTTAAATAAAAGGCAAATGGGGAAAATTTCAGAAGAAATCAATGTAAATTAAGTACAGAAAAAATCCTATTTTAAAACTCACTGTAGAGTTTGTAACAACTCATTTATTCTAAATTACTAAAGCAAATTTATCAGACATGAAATTTCCATGTAAATGAAATATAAACTATTTTTCAACATCAAAATTTAACTATAGGGATGACAGGAACCTTGAAAATAAATTTTTAAAGAATATAATTTAAAAATTCCTTGTCTTGAAGATTCTGATAATTATTATGAAAAAAAGTTTCACTCTACTACAATGTTGATCTCAAGGATCACTGAAATACTAAGAACCAGTTTTTGCCAACTCATAATGATTCTAGATACATATAATTTTTCATCCATATACCAACAATTAATAATTAGCCCTAGTCACATCTAATTTGCTGCTTTGAATATACTGTATTCTAGAACATTAGGGAATTCTTGTTAGAACTGGATATAAAAAAAGAATAAATAGAAAAAAATGTAAGGATTTTAAAGGCTCATCTATGACCATATTATTAAGCTTCACTGCATATATAAAGGATATGTAATGTTACTATAAATTCCAGTGGTTTAAATTTAAATATTTAGTTCATTAGCAGGTTAATTAGATAGTAGTCGACATGTGGGGTATGTAGTATATGTTAACCCATGACCACTCTGTCCTGCTCCCAAGTTGTGATAAACTAAAACAACAGCAGTGAAATCTACAGTTCTAAATAAATGATCTCTAATCTTCTCAAGGTCTATCTGCCCAAATACTGATTCTACTCTTGTATATGCGATCCCAGCACTTTGGGAGGCTGGGGTGGATCATTTGAGGCCAGGAGTTGAAGACCAACCTGGCCAACACGGCAAAACCCTGTCTCTATAAAAAAATATAAAACTTAGGCCAGGCGCAGTGGCTCCCATCTGTAATTCCAGCACTTTGGTAGGCCGAATATAAATTTTACCACAAAAATATGTACAACTATTTTGTATCCATAATTTAAAATATTTTTCATTTAAAAAAAGAACATATAAATTAAGAAGCACACAGTACCACAAAAAGTTTTATATAGGGCTATATGGCCAATGGAAAAGTGTAGCTTAGAAACACTGACACATAATCTTAGCTGTCTGTGTAACCAAATGAATAACATGAGGCCACTGAGCCCAGCAGAGATTAATGTACCCAGACAAAAGTGCAAAAGGTTAAGGACAAGGGCTACAATACCATACCGTTTCTGAAAAATGAGGACTAAAATAAATTAAAATGAGAGTCACAATTCTCTTGACTAGCCATTCAGTAGTATAAAGCAGAAAGTGAATGTTCAATTATAAATAGAGGGGAATGAAAGACAGAAAAGTAAGAGCAACAACTATGGCAGAAAACGTGGCATATTAGTAAATGAGTAGAGGATGCTACAGAGCCCTTGCAGCCAGCAAGTCTTCAAAGATGCTACCATAAAGAGAGAACCAGCCCAGTAAAAACAAGCATGGAAACAGACAAGAAGGAAATTCAAAAGCAAACTACCATCAAGACTATAAGATTATCTTTAGCTACCTAAGGCTACAGGCTTTAGATGAAAAGAAAATTAGTGGAAAAAAAAAAAAAACAAGAATAATCATATGTCACACTAACTGTAATTGGTGAATGTGCCTAAGTTAACTGCACGCTGAATCTCTAGATGGGTCACTTAAAATGTTGCTTTGATTCTCTGCATCCAATGCCTTGGTTTTAGGTGCCAAGAATGAAAGAACCACTTCAGGTGGGATTGACATAGAAATTTCCAAAACCAGGTGGACCCTATCATACATTTTATTAAAATGGGTTTAACAGGTCCAACCACACCACTTATTATGATGGGTTTCAACTACTTTCAGTTAAAAGTAACCCACCATATGTTACAAATTTATGCTACATACTGATTCCTCACCAGGAAATGTCCCCAATTTGGGTATTTCTGGTAAACTAGGTCATACACATGGGCACACACACGCACATTCAATGACATTTGTTGTTGTTGTTGTTTTTCTCTCCTCAGTGCTTTTTCCCCACTTCCTTACTTTTACTTCTTGTCTCTCAGGTATATTCTGAGTAGCTTAAAGACACTAGCATAATTTTACTTGTCTTGAACAATGCCATAGTCTTCAATAGTCACTCTTCAGTTAATATACTTAATAAAATATAAAACCACAGTAGTTGTATTTGTATTTATAAAAATAAGTGTGCTCATTTAAGATTCAGCATATAAAGTCGTTTCAAAAATGTTTTTAACACTGTCATAATTACAGCAAATATTCACATTCAATTTAAGAAACAAAATTGTTTTTGATTGGAAAAGTTCCTATAGCCTTGTAACAAGAGGAACATTCTTAAGCAATGTGTCTGGCATATACTAATCAAAACTCTATGCATGCTTATCCTGAATACCAATGAAATCAATCTAAGTTATCAAAGAGGAAAGCAGAAAATTTTAAATGAAAATTGAAACTGCAAAAAAAAAAAAAAAGTCTCATGTTTTCAATATTCAAAATTCAAAGAAAAGAAGTTCCCTCTTGACTTGAGGAAAACAACAAAAAACAAAAACACATCGCTTCTGGGCACATTATTAGCTGAATTCGGAATCGTCATTTGTATGTAGAGAACGCTATTACTGGAATACAAAAAAGCTTACAAAATGTCTAATGCTTTACAAAACAAAATAGCAAAGCACATTTATTTACTCTGCTTCAAGTACTTTTGTGGAAGTGAAAAAAATATTAAAATTCATCAGCATAATAAACGTATACATTCAACTTACTGGTAACATTGTTTTTAGTCCTGAACGGAGAAATTCATTCCTTAAATGTATTCGAAAATCAAGCTCATAAGGAGAAGTGACAAGGGCATTTATAAACTGCATGCAGGCCACCTGCAATTAGAAAGCAAATTTTGTTTTAAAAAACACATTAAATAAATTAATGAAATAATGCATTAAGATAATATATTCACTAAAGGCATACACACATAACGATAAAATAAGAAAAGCAAATATTTCTAGAAGTATGATTATGACTTTAATTATAAACAACAAAATTAATGACAAATTATCTAATGTCCAAAACAATTCTAACAAAGATGTCATGACCAAGTACGTTGTGCTTTTAAAAAGAATACGAAGAAATATTAAACTCCCTCTGAAAAACCCAAATTGCTAAAGCGGGCAGATAGAGCCCTTTGAAAAGATCACAAAATGTATCTTTCATGTCCAGCTGTCCTCACAGTACACTTGGCCTCAATTCTACAGGGTTATAAACACTTCTAAAATAAATTAAAGTTATAAAAGTACCCTAATATTAAACAGGGAACAGTGATAACTTAGATAAATTATTACATTGATTTACATTCTCTCCATCCTCTTAATGGGATGATTTGTACAAAATATATAAAGTATTAAAATATGTAATTAAGATGGATTAACTTACTAGGTATGAAAAAAATAATAGAAGTGAATTAAGATCAACTAGAAGGCACTGGGACACTAATACTAATGCACACTTCATAATAAAGCATATGTAAGAGCTTGTTTTCAAGTAAAGTATTTGATTAAATATATTGATACTGAAAAATGAGTTTTGCTTTTCTTACCTTCTGATTTTGAGATTCCCTATTATAAAAAGGAATTTATTTGCTGGTAATTTTAATCTAGAAGGAAATCAACAAAATGCTAAGTGCCAGGTATTCCATAAATTATTCCTAAGTAGCATTTTTGGAAAATGCTGCTCAAATCTAAGGTAACTGGCTAATTGTTTAACTGAAAAGATGTCATTTAAATGTATTATTTTTTATTTTTAAAGAATGCAATGAGTAGAAGAGTGCTCAAAGGGCAAACTACAAGGGGAATCCTTGGAAAAAACAGATTATATAAGGATACTTCTATACTATATATAGAAGCACACATAAATAAATTAATGGTTAGCATGGGAAAAATACATTATGAAAAGACAAATATTTCAAATGTATTTTGACTTGACATCTACAGATCTATTATGATAGAGTTATTTTTTCCAAAATAGGGAGAAGAGATTAAAAGGTATGCTTTACTCTTGAATCTATATCTTATATATTTAAGTTGCTTTTTGGGAGATTAGCCCATCTGCCCCACATCTACATTCAAAAATCAAAAGTTAACATGGTTTAAAAGGGCTGATTAAGGTTGTTTCTAACATGATCAGATATCTGAATGATACAACAATATATTCTAATTTCTATGAACGTTCAAATATCAAGATAAAACACTTAGAAAACTGACTAAATATTTGCCATAGATTTGGCATTAACTTTAAAGATATACCAGATAAGTTATAATGAAGCTTATGCTTTAATAGATCACTTAACCTTCCTATTTACAATAGGAAATCATGTAAATCTTTATGTAGTTTTGATAGGCTAGGCTATATATTTGCATACTGTACATGTCCACGGTTATATTGTCATTGTATTTGCTTGAATGACTCTTGTTATGTTACAACTATGACACGACCAAACAAGCCAAAGTACATGTCCAATCCAAAATTAATAGAGAGAAAAGTTGCCATCTGTTAGGATTGTTTTTGCCAGAAGAAATTCTAGCTTAATGGCTTGTATTAATACCCTACAAGTAAAGAGAACATTTCTGTAAGAAGCAAGTTAATGAGTCCTGCAATTGTATATTTATACAAATAAAAGTATTTAGATCAGGAGACAATAAAGATAATAAAAGTCAATAAAATTAATGAATGTATCAATATAACTTTAATAATATGTTTCAATGATATTAAATACTCACTTTATATATAATATTTGAATCTATAGTTTAATATGAAAACAAAGACGTTCCATCCATTGACTATAGTATATAATAATTAGGACATAATGTGAAGTCAGTTTTAAAAAGGTAAAGGTACTGGCTTAACAATGTACCATTTATTATATATCATATTCTAATAGATATTTAATTAATTACAAATAACATAAGATGAATAGACATGCTATCATGTCATTTTCCAACATAAGCTGATAAAGTAATACTCTTTTACAGAAATATGTATATTGTAATATGAATGTGGAAAACAAAAAAGTCATCTAAATTTTTGCTATTCCTTTATGCTGTTACACAAATGCTGCCCTTTTCAGAGAATGGGAACATTATCTCAAATCCAAAACTGAAATAATTGTCACTATTTACAAATACAAAATTAAATTTAAATTAGCTTAAAGGCCAGAATATATTACTACTTAATTATAAACATGACAACCCCATTGTGTGTATCCTGAATTCATAGCTAAATATAAAATCTCAAACTATCATCATCATTATTATTATTAGTTATCACACAATGTATTAGGTCCTTTACATAATTCACCATCTAATCTCATCTTCATAAAAACCACACAAGGTTAGCATTACTGTTATTCTTATTTTACAGATGATGACGCTGAGGCTCAAAGCAGATAGAATAACTTATATAAGGTCACACAGCAAGGAGGAAACTCATGATTATAAATGATATCACTTTACTACAAATATAATTTCCAGCACATTCCAAAGGTCTCATAAACTCCATTCATAGATTCTCACAACAAAAGATTTTAAGGATGGGTAAGATGATAAAATGTAATTGGTACAACATGCTTAATATACTGGGGATATGTAGCTTTAAAACTATAGGTTAATCAGAAAAACATACAATAATATAAATAATAGGTTGTCTAGTATACATAGTGGCTATCATAATATATAATGTAATGCAAAAAAAAAAAAAAGCAAAAGTAGAAAATGGTTCTTGGAGAGGGTTAAATTCCACTTCATGTACATCCTGAGCAGTAAAGTATAAATGGCATCCCATCATTCAAAATAATGGTCTACCACTCCTCTCCTTTACTTCCTGCCAACCCACTCCATACTCAGCATGTATATGCATGTGAACACATGCGTACACGCACACACACACTCTACAGTACTGTGCTATCCAATATGGGAGCCACTTGTCACAGTTTAATTTAATTACAATTAAATAAAATTTAAAATTCAGTTGCTCAATTTCACTAGCCATTGTCCCAGTGCTCAACAGCCACATGTGGCTAGTAGCTACCACATTGGACAGCAAGGATATAGAACATGGGAGAAAGTTTGATTGAATAGCACTACACTGGAGATTTTAAAGAAAAAAAGAGATTTGGCCTAATCTCTGAAACCTTCACTTCAAAGAACTACAAAACTCGTTGCTGAATAATGAAAATTTCAAAATTCATATGCTCAACTTCCAAGTATATAAATCTTTAAGAGATGAGTGTACTCTATTGTCCTCTAACAATGCAAACTCAATCTGCTTTCCAAAAAAAAAAAAAAATTCAACTCCAGAGACAGAAAATAATCATGAGATTTTAAAGCTAGACAGAACATAAAATACTCTGGTCCAATATGTTATTTAAAAATAAAGAAACTGAAAACCTAGAAAGATTGGATGATTTGCCCAAGATCACATAACTAGTAAGCCCCAATGATACAACTAGAACTCAGGTCTCTTGACCTTTAGCCTTGGACTTTTTTCTACCATATTGTATCACACAAATCTTGTTTAATATAATTTCCCCTTATCTTAGAAAGAAAACAAATGCCCTTGAATTGAATATCACAAAGTCCATTATCCAGAGTTGCTCTGTTGCTTAGTGTCTTTATAATGGCTATGTTTCAAAATGGTCTGCCATATCTATTGTTACAAATACAGCTTCCATGAGAATCAAAATTTTAAAGTCACAGAAAATCAGTGAATTTCCTCCATTATTAATACATATGCTAGGGCCACAATTCTGATGCTTAATTAGTAAATACAATCAATTTCTATATTGGCATTTTCATTCAGTGATGTCATAAGATTTCAACATGAGATGCATATATATCCTATTGAATGAATACATAAGCATACATAGTTAAAAACTACCAGTTCTGTGCATGTGATAAAGTATCCAATCATTTGTGTCATGTATAATTATACACTACACTGAATCATTATCCGTTTTCTACCACATTAAGATCCTTCCTTTACTATAACAGTATATTATATTTCTACAATAATCATCTACATTTTTTAGTCACCAGATGCTGTTGTCTTCGTTCTGGGGTGGAATGGTATAAAGGGTGAAATGTTACAAAACAGATGATAAACTTTCAAAAGGCAAAGCTCATCTATACATGCCTAGGGTTTATTTGTAACACTTAACTGTCCCAAATAAAATAATTAAAATATAGTAAGTGAATGACATTTAAATATTTCCAATTGTATTGGCATAAGATATAGCATTACAAAAAGAAATTTCAGTTTGTTTTTTTAACCTAAGTGACAGAGAAAGGGAAATATTTGAACACAAATATCTTCATAAAAGTAGTGGGAAAATGCTAGAACCTTTTATTGATTTTAACTTAAAGGCTTTGAAAACTATACAAACATCTATCTATTTAATCAAAATTCATAGAGCTATGGGGTACAATAATTGCCAAGTCTAGGGCATTCTCAGACAGATTATCCATATTGCCATTATCTGTGACAAATTGTACTTTAAAAATTTTATTGACACTGTTCCACGCTTGACCTTATTAAGTACTCTGTTGACATTAACAAGGTCTTTCTTTATCCTAGCCCAACAGGAGTTAGGAACAAAGATGATTTAAGTCAAAGTATGAGAGAAGAAAGATGTGAATGTACAGAGCAAGTTAATTGAGAAATGGAGTACTTTCCAAGCCAATGGAAGTCATGTACAAAGGTATAAAGGTAGAGGAATAAAACAGCATAAAATCTATAGGAAACAAAGTACAATATGACTAGACTAAAAACATACGTAGAAGTGTGGTGGAATATGAGGCGAAAGAGAAAGCAACAACCAGATGAAGTA